AAAATCTTGGGTGAATTTCAACACATCATATTTTTTTGTCCTTCCCATCACATACTCAAAATAACAAATGAATTAGAGCTCGTAATTTCTCTACCAGTCATTTGCTTTTCTTGTGTAAGTGTGCAGAGTAATTCATTTTTTTTGGTCACACGTACTAGTTTGTATACTCCAACACTTATCCGTCGATGGATGCAAAAATAATAAAAGAAATTCTAACTTGCTCATGAAACATGTTTGGATTCTCCAAGTGTCCTTCTATTCTCTCTTTTTTGAGATCGAAGGCTCGCGATGAGCCCGGCTTTGAATTAACAAAGCCATCAACCGGCCCGGAATTACAACACCACCTCAAGCACAACGGTCGAACGATACAAGGGAGCACCCTAGGAAGCTTACAACTCAAGGCAGTATACAAGCTCAAAACATAAAGAAGAGTAAGCCCAAGCTAGTACACATCGCAGACCGCAGCAAACAAGAACCAAGGATTGCGACCAACATGAACACGACGAGGACCTGCCGAAACAGAGTGAAATTGTGGACATGACTTAGTCCAAGGTTGGAGGAATCCAAACATCTTCCTTCGCTCTTGCCGTAGAGGGACCCTACCCTCTCGCCTTGGATCGAAAGGTGTCGCCGACGAACATGAGAGACGCTCACCCTAGAGCGGGAGAGGTGTGGACCTCGAGTCCTGGAACAGGCACAGAGCACACCTCCTAGGACATGAGCACACCTCATCTGACACACCGGCGCAACCTAGGACACCTGAAAGACAGCGGGAGCAGCAGCTGGGAGCAGCCACTGAAGAACGAGCAGCAAGGACATCAGGAGAGGCCGTAGAGCAACGAGGAGCAAGAGTCGTCGGCCGCTGAAGAGAAACACCGGGCGTCCATGGCCGAGGATGTGTTCCTACTGCCGGGAAGAGGAACCCTATCCCCTACCGCCGGATCGTAGACGCCGTACCGCCGGAGCTGAGCCAAACACGCCACCACCGAGGAGCACCACCCTTGAGGGGAGCAGGGATAGACTTCCAAGCGATCCAGACCTCCCCACTGCCACATGATACCATAGCCGCCCAAAACTCCACCTTTGTCGCCCCTCACCCGAACGCACGCTCCCCAGGCGGCACCTCCAAGGAGGACACGACGCGCAGCGCGCCGTCACCCCCAATTCAAGGAGGATTTTGGGCTTTCACCCAGGAGGGGAACGGGGGTGGATTGGGGTGGGACCTCGGCTGCACCTCCAAGGAGGAAGGGCGGCGCCCAAAGCGTCGCTGTCGCCGGGGCGGACCAGACGACCGATGGTTTCCGACGGTCCCAAAACCAAACCACCGGGCACCCATCAACACCTTTCCGGCGACCGAAGCTGCTGAAATCGGTGAGGATGAGGGAGTCGAAAGGAAGGGGAGCCGAACCTCACATCTGGCGAGGAGGGGGGTCTCCACGCCGCAGCCACCACCCGCCACCGTCACACCATCTGCGTGGTCGGGTACGCCGGCCAGGATCCCCCGCGGACGCCGCCAGCCGGGAAGGCGCCGCCGCCGCGCCATGAAGGGCCGCCGCCCCAGATCCGCGGTCCTCCGCCAGGAACGGAGCGAGCAGGGCCTCGCCGCCACCGTCACCAGCGACCACGCGGCTTGGCGGCAGCCTCCTCGGGTGGCGATGAGGGGGGGAGGAGGCGGGGGGTGGCGGCGCTAGGTGGAAACCCTAGTCGCCTCCCGAGTCGCCCAAGCGGACGACACGGGGGCTGGGGGCGAGCCCTGTGCTTCCCAACCTTGTATCTCCTTCTATTCTCTCAATAACATAAAGCTTTACGCTGCGTTTGGATGTCCGTATTGGGGTTCCGAAATGGATTTCGTATTCCTAAACCATCAATTCGAGTGTTTGGCATGCCAACGGAAACAGCGGTCTGTAATCCATCGAATCAAGCGGCGAAATCAATCGCACGTGCCGAGGCCTCCCACGATACGGAGCCCGACCCCTCCGATTTGGCCTGTATTCATGCCTCCCACAAACGAAAACGTTTCAAGCCTATCTTTCCTCACCCCGCTCGACCGAAGCAGCCATCCCCACCTTGCGCGACGAGAGGCGGCGGCGCAGGAAGCACCCGACGGCGGCGCCAGGCATCCTCTCTTGCCGGCCCTCCTCCTCATCCCTGCCGCCATTCCTCCTCATCCTCCCCTATGTCAACCCTTCTCCTCATCCCCTCGTCATCTCGTCTGCCACCCGATGAACATAGGGCCATCGCATCTCCTCTACCCATGGTCGTCGCGGCCTGGCCCTCCCCGCCCGTCGCTGCTCCTCCTCCACTTCCCGTGCTCCGGCGTGCCTCCCACTGGACCCCCTCTTCCTGTGCCGCCGGTTCCCCATCTCCTCTTCGTGGTCAGCCGCCAGATCCCCTTGTCTGCCCCTCTGTTCTGCCACTTCCCGACCATTTTTTGCAAACTCTTGTAAATCTGAATCTTGTAAATCATGATGTTGTTGTAGTGTAGCTCTTGTAAATCTGAATTTTGATGTTGTTGCAGTGTAAATCTTGTAAATTCATCTCTTGTAATCTGTCCTAGTAGAAAATTTCATGTATTTACAGTCATTTTGCTCATGAATACTAGCCTTTTCTAATTGTGTCACAATTTCTTAATCTTGTAAATTTCCTGCTGCTATGGTGTAGAATCTATCTTGTAATCTGCTCATAGGTCCCTTTTGATGTTTGCTAGGTCATAATTTGCAATTCCATAGTTTGCCATCCAAACATGATTTGGTATTGAAACCTCCTTGAGATTACATGAGCCAATTTCATGAGCATCCAAACAAACGAATTCGTATTCGTGTCCATTACAGTTTCCTCTTTGAATTGGAATTGAAACCAATTCAATACGGAGGCCTCCAATACAGACATCCAAACGCAGCGTTAGCGTCTCTTTAAATTTTAGGAGTTTTCTACAATATTTAGAGGATTTCAAAACTTTATTTTTTTTCCAACCGGGCTCACAACCCCTTTCCATTAATTTTGCAATCAACGGAAATACATCAGTCTTTATCCAAGTTCATCGCCGAACTCAAAACAGATAAAACCTACTTTGCGCGAAATGAGACTGAAAAGGGGGGAGCGAGTTGGCGCATCACCAGGAAACCCACCGCGTGATGATCCTGGAACGGACCACCAGCCATGGGACGAAAACCTGATGACACTTACAAGCCATCTGCTCAGAATACAAAGTACCAAAATGACTCAAGATGAAGCAACCATCAGACTCCGCCGACTAGGCGAAACAGTCGCAGTACAGATCACCAGCGGGCATCAGACCCCAGTGGGAAGCGAGGGTAGAAGCTGGCAGACGCTGATCGCATCTAGCCAATCTGCAAACCATCTCTGTCTCCCAAGAGCAGCCTGTCTCGAGGGAAGGATCTGTCCGTCAGTGCCGCAGCAGCATGCGCCAATCTCTTCACACCTGCCTGGAGCTTCACCCTGTCCTCTTCCTTCAGCAAACCTGCCCAATACATCATAAAAGAGCATGCCGTGAAAACAGCCTCCAGAGGGGATCGAACGACATGCTTATCAAACGTAACTTTATTACGGAGAATCCAAATCCCCCAACATATCGCAGCAATAATCATCATATATAAATGCTTCCCACCCGGAAAGAATTTATAAAGCCAAGAAAAGCTTTGCCAAAGGGATCGAGGGCAGCAAGATGCTCCTGCTGTCATGCCCAGCGTCCCCCAAACTGAGCGAGCGAGCGAGCACGAGAAAAACAAATGGTTTGCCGTTTCAACATTAGTACAGAAGGAGCAACTGGGATTTCCAGGCCATTTTCTGGCACGCATGTTATCACGAGTAAGGTTGGCATTTTGAAATAGTTGCCAAAGGAAAATTTTGATCTTCAGCGGGATAGGTGCTTTCCACACCATTTTATAGTTAGGACCTGACAGGTTTCTCTCCAGCCACTCGTATAAGGATTTAGTGGTAAATTTTCCTTTACCACCAAGGGACCAAGAAATCTTATCTGGGGATTCATTCAATGTCAGCTTTTTAGCTTCCATGATCATCCAAGCCCATTGATCACCCAGCGCCCCTACTAATCTGCGTCTGAAGCCAATTTCATAGTTACTCGCAGCCCAGGATGCAACAGTGCAATCCTGATCTTGGCAGATACTGAACAAGCCAGGAAAATGATCTTTCAACACAATGTTTTCGATCCACGGGTCATACTAGACCCTAGTAAGGTTCCCACTCTCAATGTTAACCTTTCTACCAACCATATATGAATCTTTGACTTTCATAATGGCTTTCCAGCAGGGGGACTCCGAGAAGCGACTCCGGATGTTAGCTACTGTTTTGTTCCTGAAGTATCTAGCTCGAACAATGCGTTGCTATAAACCATCACTCGTTTCCAGTTTCCACCACCACTTAACGAGCAGGGCAATATTTTGCTTATGCAGATCTTTAATACCTAAGCCCCCAATCCTCTTAGATCTGCAAACTCTTGTCCATTTTACCATATGATAACCATGTTTCTTATTCTTTCTCCTCCAAAAGAACCGCCTGCGATGTTTATCCATCTTCTCAATAAAAGTTTTATTAAAAAGAAACATCGACATGAGAAAAGATGGGATCCCATCCAAACTGGACCCCAGTAAGGTCAGCCTGCCCCCAGATGATGCCGCGTAAGCAACCCAGACATCGAGCTTTTTGATCATTTTACCATCAAGGAAGTCCAGATCAATATTCCTGAGAGTAGAATATTTCTGCATAAAAGTCTTCTGCATTTCACTCGCAAAAAAAAAAGTCTTCTGCATTTGTAAAACTTCTGCGGTTCCTATAACCCTGACGACAGTAAAAAAGGAAAAACAATTCTCGAAACACTTTGCCACGACCCAAAGCGGAAAAGTACACTTTGGCAGAACTGTACAAGCCACCGCCCACCGCAATTCATCTACTTCTCCGGCAGGGCAGGACACCGTCGAGGCGGAAGTGGCCAAGCGCGCCGACCGCAGAAGCGCCACGCGATGCCTTCCTCCCCCGCCCCATCCCCCGTCGTCGTCCTCAGCGACACCGAAAGCGGCGGCGACGGCGACGCCGTCTCCGACGCCGCGCCCTCGAGGCCCGCCGCCGAGCTCATCGCGTCCACCCTGAGTACCCAGGCCGCGGTCGACGCCCTCTGCAGGAAGCACGGCATTCCGGCGGAGTTCGCCCGGCGGCCCGCCGGCGAGCTGCGCGCGTGCAGCGTGCCGCCGCCGGGGGCCGTCTGCGTGTATGCCCACGCGCTGGAGGCCGGAGTGCGCTTCCCGCTGCACGCGTTCTTCGTGAAGGCGCTCACCCACTTCCGCCTCGCGCCGGGCCAGCTCACGCCCAACGGGTGGCTCGTCCTGGTCGGGTTCGTCGTGCTCTGCTACGAGGCCGGCGTGCGGCCGTCGACGGCGCTGTTCCGGCACTTCTTCTCCCTGTCGACATGGAAGAACGGGGACGGCTGGTACTTCTTCCGCTGCAGGGGAAAGGGATCCGCCCCAACGCTCTTCACTGGCCTTAGCTGTTCCAAATTTGAGAGCGATTGGAAAGGCAGGTTCTTCTTCCTGACGTCGCCGGGGCCATGGCCGTGCCCCGTGAACTGGGGCGACTCGCCGCCCAAGAGCTCCGCCGCAGATCCGGTGCTTATGAGCCAGCAGGAGTCGGCGGGTAAGCTGCTACAGGCACACGGCGTCCCGCTTGACCTCCGGATTTACCTCCGCGACGCAAATCTTCCTGCAGTCTTCTCCTCCGGCGCACCTCTGCCTTCTCCCCGTCCTACTGTTGCCAAAGGTAAGACTTCGACCCCCCTTGTCCAATTGTCGCATACTCAGTTACTCACAGCGAAAGGTATTTTACTCCTGTTGTTTGTGGGCTAGTGGTGGATCCGCCCGTCCGCGAGATGACTGACACTATGCCAGTGGAGAAGACGGCGGCGCCGGCAGCAGGGACGGAGCAGGTGAAAAGCGAGGCGCACGGCGACAGGCTTCCATTGTCCGGAAAGAAGAGGAAAAGGGAGGAGTCTACTGCAAAAGACGGGCTTGGCTGCGCCGCCCCGGTGTCCGACCCGCGGTCACCGCACTCGCCCGTGCCCGACACACACGACGGTGACACTGCCGACTGGAAGGTCGCACGGAAGGTGCTGGAGTGCATCGTCACGCCGTCGCGGGAGGACAAGTTCGCGGCGGCGAAGCCCTCAGACATCGTCGCGTCGAGCTACGTGGCAATGCTCCAGGTATTCTTGCAACCAAATCGTTCGTCAGTAGGTGTATGTGCGGACAAGACCCGAACCACATTGTTTGTGTGCAGGCTGCGAACTACGTGTCCTTCTCCTCGGGCTACGCGCTGGAGCTGGAGGAAAAGCTGGTGGCGCGGGAGCGCGACAACATGGCGCTGTGGGAGCAGCTGGGCAAGGAGAAGACGGCGAGGCAGGCCGCGGAGGCGGACCTGGAGAAGGCGAAGGCCGAGCTCGCGGCGGCGAAGCGGGCGACCGAGGCGGAGCTGGAGAGCGCCAAGACGGCGGCGGTGCAGCAGTTCATGGGGTCGGAGGAGCACACGCGGCGGCTCGCGGAGCATGCGCTGGCGGGGTACGAGCGCGGCGCGGAGGAGATGAAGGGCGTCGTGCTCCGGCACTACCCGCGCCTCGACGCCGCCAAGCTGGTCCTGCCGCTTGATTAGCCGGTGCTTTGAACTTGGAGCCGTCTTTGTTGATCTTTTGTGCATGGGAAAACTGCTCCGGAGAACTGCTGAGCCATGATCTGGACATCTGCCTATCCTAATTTGTTGTTGGTTGAAGGTTTGTTCATGATCAAGATTGATCTCATGGGGAAATCAAGCCTGTTATCTAGAGACCACCTTTATGTGGAAATCGACTCACTGGTGCATGCAGTGAATACTTCTCAAGCTTAGATAAAAGCTCAGCTTTCATGTTTCATTTTGATGAATTTTCTATGGTTTTGCTATTTTTCAGCTGGCTGAAAAGCAATTGGCTTTCATTCAAATTGGGGTCCGTCTGATCAAGTGCCATGATTCGTGCTGATTTCCCATCTCAGTTTTTCTCGGGCCTGAGTTTCTGTTCGGGCTGCCTGCAGGCCGCCCAATAGTGGTTCTCTTTTGTTTTCTATTAATTGCTTCCCTTCCTGCTCGCGAGCCACCCACCTGTTTGTCTGTTTGTTCATTTCATGCCGCTCGAGAGATAGGAAGAACAGAGTCAGAGGGGAGGGAAGCTACAGGGGAAGAGAGGGAGAATAGATAATAGAAGCTACATGGAGCACTACCTCATCTTCTTCCCATGGCGATTCCAACGGCTTTTTGAGTGCTTGTGCTCGAAGTTTCCTGTCCCTGGTATCAAATTGCCCCCGGGCTCCATTTCATAGAAACAAAACCAAAAGCTTACAAAAGCGAAAACGTCTGGGCTAAAATGTCAGGTTCAAGGTGCCACGAAGGACACATATGCGAAAAAAACTACAGGCCACCAAACCGGTGCCGGTCTTTTAAACATAACAAGGTTTGCCGCACTTTATGACTCTAGAAACCTAACCACATAACTAAAAAAAGACCACAATCATCAGGACATGGGAACGAAGAACCCCGGTATCCGATTCATGTTGGGTGTAGCAGTTTGTCACGTTGTTTGCTCAACCTTCCCCCGTTCCGCTCTCGATTATTTGTTTTTGTTCATCTCTAGGTCTAGACTTTGGTTTGCTTAGATCGTTTCCCCCCTCCATCCTCCAAATTCTAGGATTCCTAGTTGTCCTTTCCTATTCCTAGTTGTTTAGGTGTTTTGTATGGTGGGATTTAAGTTCGGGTGGTTGTCCTCCCCTTGGGTTGTGCTTGTTAGATATAGGGGTTTGTAGTTGCTGATCCAGGACTGCAGATGGATTTTTGCTTCGATTGTACACGTTTTGGTGTGCTCTGTATTTTATATGGAGCTAGTGCTGCTAAATCTTGTGGACAGTGTTCATGTAGCTTGATTCCCCATCCCCTTCTGTTCTGTACTTGTTGTTAGGAGGGTCCCAATTGATTGGACATACTCTATGAATGATTATTTCTAGATATTGTGGTACTTCTTCGCAAGGAGGTGTTGGGGAACGCGGTAATTTCAAAACTTTCCTATGCACACGCAAGATCATGGTGATGCATAGCAACGAGAGGGAAGAGTGTTGTCCACGTACCCTCGTAGACCGAAAGCGGAAGCGTTATGACAATGCGATTGATGTAGTCGTACGTCTTCACGATCGACCGATCCTAGTACCGAACGTACGACACCTTCGTGATCTGCACACGTTTAGCTCGGTGACGTCACACGAACTCCGATCCAGTAGAGTGTCGAAGGAGAGTTTCGTCAACACGACGGCGTGATGACGGTGATAATGAAGCTACCGGCACAGGGCTTTGCCTAAGCGCTGCAACGATATGACCGAGGTGGATTATGGTGGAGGGGGGCAACGCACACGGCTAAGAGATCAATGATCAACTTGTGTGTCTATGGGGTGCCCCCTCCCCCGTATATAAAGGAGTGGAGGAGGGGGAGGGCCGGCCCTCTACTATGGCGCGCCCTGGGGAGTCCTACTCCCACCGGGAGTAGGATTCCCCCCTTCCAAGTAGTAGGAGTAGGAGAGAAGGAAAGGGAAGAGAGAAGAGAAGGAAGGAGGGGGCGCCGCCCCTCCCCTAGTCCAATTCGGACTAGGCCTTGGGGGGGGGGCTGCCCTAGGAAGCCCATCGCTCTCTCCCTTAAAGCCCAATAAGTCCCATATTCTCCCCGGCGAATTTCCGTAACTCTCTGGTACTCCGATAAATACCCGAACCACTCAGAACCTTTCCGATGTCTGAATATAGCCTTCCAATATATCGATCTTTACGTCTCGAACATTTCAATACTCCTCGTCATGTCCCTGATCTCATCCAGGACTCCGAACAACCTTCGATACATCAAAACACATAAACTCATAATATCGATCGTCACCGAACGTTAAGCGTGCGGACCCTACGGGTTCGAGAACTATGTAGACATGATCGAGACATATCTTCGGTCAATAACCAATAGCATAACCTGGATGCTCATATTGGCTCCCACATATTCTATGAAGATCTTTATCGGTCAAACCGCACAACAACATACGTTGTTCCCTTTGTCATCGGTATGTTACTTGTCCGAGATTCGATCGTCGGTATCATCATACCTAGTTCAATCTCGTTACCGGCAAGTCTCTTTACTCGTTCCGTAATACATCATCCCGTAACTAACCCATTAGTCACATTGCTTGCAAGGCTTATAGTGATGTGCATTACCGAGAGGGCCCAGAGATACCTCTCCGACAATCGGAGTGACAAATCCTAATCTCGATTTAAGCCAACTCAACAAGTACCATCGGAGACACCTGTAGAGCACCTTTATAATCACCCAGTTACGTTGTGACGTTTGGTAGCACACAAAGTGTTCCTTGATGACCCACAAGTATAGGGAATCTATCGTAGTCCTTTCGATAAGTAAGAGTGTCGAACCCAACGAGGAGCAGAAGGAAATGACAAGCGGTTTTCAGTAAGGTTTTCTCTGCAAGCACTGAAATTGTAGGTAACAGATAATTTTGTGATAAGATAAATTGTAACGAGTAACAAGGAATGAAAGTAAATAAACTGTAGCAAGGTGATCCAATCCTTTTTGTAGCAAAGGACAAGCCTGGACAATTTCTTATAATGAGAAAAGAGCTCCCGAGGACACATGGGAATTATGGTCAAGCTAGTTTTCATCATGCTCATATGATTCACGTTCGGTACTTTGATAATTTGATATGTGGGTGGACCGGTGCTTGGGTACTACCCTTACTTGGACAAGCATCCCACTTATGATTAACCCCTATTGCAAGCATCCACAACTACAAAAGAAGTATTAAGGTAAACCTAACCACATCATTAGACATATGGATCCAAATCAACCCCTTATGAAGCAACGCATAAACTAGGGTTTAAGCTTCTGTCACTCTAGCAACCCATAATGTACTTATTACTTCCCAATGCCTTCCTCTAGGCCCAAACAATGGTGATGTAGTCGACGTTCACATAACACCACTTGAGGAAAGACAACATATATCTCATCAAAATATCGAACGAATACCAAATTCACATGACTACTAATAGCAAGACTTCACCCATGTCCTCAGGAACAAACATAACTACTCATAAAGCATATTCATGTTCATAATCAGAGGAGTAATAATATGCATTAAGGATCTGAACATATGATCTTCCACCAAGTAAATCAATTAGCATCAACTACAAGGAGTATTCTACACTACTAGCAACCCACAGATACCAATTTGTGGTTTTGGATACAAGAGATGAACTAGGTTTTGAGAGGAGATGGTGCTGGTGAAGATGTTGATGGAGATTGACCCCCTCCCGATGAGAGGATCATTGGTGATGACGATGGTAATGATTTCCCCCTCCCGGAGGGGAGTTTCCCCGGCAGAACAGCTCTGCCGGAGCTCTAGATTGGTTCCGCCAAGGTTCCGCCTCGTGGCGGCGGAGTTTCTTCCCGTAAGCTTGCCTCTTTTTACAAGGTAAAAGCCTTCATATAGCAGAAGATGGACGCCGGAGGGCCACCAGGGGGCCCAGGAGACAGGGGGCGCGCCCAGTAGGGGTGGGCGAGCCCCCACCCTCCTGGCCAGGATGTGGGCCCCCTCTGGTCTTCCTTTCGCTCAACAATTCTTATTAATTCCAAAAAAGATGTGGCATCCTGGCTCAGAGAAAACCGGAACGCCCCGTATTCCAACCCAGAGATCGAGGAGAAGTCTTCTGGAATACGGCACTGCTTAGCATAGAACAAACTAGCTTTCTATTATTACACGAATGTGAATACAATGTCCCGATATTACAATGAATAACATTGGTACGGCGACACTACGCCATCCTTAGTTGCTCTATGCAAGCAACAGAACAACTCGAAGCAGCGGATAACTCTAGCAGCGGAACAACAGCGACGGTGGTGAACTCCACTCCACAGGGACTCTCGCTGGAACGCTTATCCTAGCTCGCACGAACGGAAACCACGACAAGCAAGCAATTAAATCCGGCATGACCTGCAAGCTGGCATGACATGCCAGGTCAGTACATTGAATGTACTTGCAAGCTCACAATAATCCAGAAGCATTCAAGACAAACAACAACATGGCAATTACAGGTTAAACAGGAATTATCATGATATCATCAGAACAACATGGCATGACCAACATAAACATGATACAGCTAACTCAACCTGAACATAGCATGAACATATTAATCCGACAATACTAGCGTGCAACATAATGACACTATATGCACCGCTTATTCTGCTCGGGTTACCTCGAAACCAACACATGCATCACTTACCAATCTCGGACATCACACGATCATCTCAGGATCAAATCAAGCTTGGTATAAACAATACCATAGTAATCATTAAACGACCACAAGGAGCTTCACCTTTACCCACGATTCTCGCACAACATCATGAATATACAATGACTTGGTATCCTTGATACCACCATGATCTTTACGGCGATCACCACCCGACCAACACTTGACCCGTGATCCTTACGGCGATCACAACCCGACCACTACATGGACCGTGATCCTTACGGCGATCACAACCCGACCACTTCATGGCCCGTGATCCTTAGGGCGATCACAACCAACTTATC